AGAACCTCCAACAACTGGTCTCCTCAGGTCCTTCAGAACCTCCAACATCTGGTCTCTTCAGTTCCTCCAGAACCTCCAACAACTGGCCTCCTCAGGTCCTGGATGTTTACAGACTGTTATTAAAAGACGAGATGTTTCACAGAAGGAAACCTTGACTTGGAAGAACTTTTTCAAGTTGTGGCGATGCCATAAATTTCCGAGTTGTTTAAATTTTCCACAACATCTGGTGTTTTTATTTTGTTCCACTGTAAAAAAAAAAAAAAAAAAATTTTAAATGCTGTATGGGTTTGTTAAAAAAATGGGTTTATGAGATTTGCAGCACATTTCACATTCTGTTGTTGCAGACGTTTTTACAAAACCATCACAACTTTTTCACGACAGGAGTTTGTAAGTTTATGTCTGAAGTTCAGTGAAGCGCAGGAACTCCAGCTCGTCCTCCTCTGACATCAGCACCGTGACGCTGCTCTCAGCGAGAGGAAATGGCCAAACGTTTAATCATGACTGTCAAATTGCTTCCTCTACGAGTCGTCGGGGCGATAACATCGTGGCTGCAGTCCAATCGAAGCTTGCAGAAAGAGAGAAAGGCAGGGAGGGTGATGTCAGCTCTAACATTATCTTCAAGAGAAGCTCAGAAGCTGCTCTTTGAGTTACAGCGGTCCTGATTCGGTGGTTTAGTTCTGTCAGGAGCTTCAGGTGTAAAAAAAACTAATGTTAACGAGTTCCTGAAGTACGGCTGAAAACCAACTCTGGACTAAATGAAGGGATTTAGACGCTGGATTGTTTGTGGAGGACCTTTAGGTAAGCAACAAGAAAAAAATACCTCAATATTTTAAACTCACGATACTTCCAGCTTTTGTCTTTTACTTTAATTACATAAGAAGAAAATTACTCTAGAAATGCAAAAAAGAAAAGGCGATTTTTTCTCTTCAGCTTTCAAAAGCGTTTAAATAAAAAGGATCCCGTTTACTGAAGCTAGATTTCTGCAGCAACACCTTTCCACCTAAAAACCACATCCTGTGTGAGTTTCTTAACAACATCACCGCTTTAGCAGCCGTTTTCTTTAGTAAAGATGAACAAATAAGTTTTCTCTGCACCTTTAAACTCCTGAGAGATAATCTGATCAATCACAACCCTTCTCTTGTTTATTGGGGAGTGCCTGAAGGCAGACGCTTATTATCATCCACCTGAAAAGGGTCTTGCTCCTTTATCGACTTCAACCACAAAGTGTACCGCCACAAATTTGATAACATTACTGGCTCAGCATAATTAGCATTTCAAGTTACCATGGCGATGAAATTTACAAACAACGACAACATTTTTTTCATTGAAACAATCTATAAATCAGCCATTTTCAGAGATATTAAGCTAAAATTTGGTGTGGTGGAAGCTGAGAGTATTCAAATTTTAAAAATCAAGATGGCCACCAAAGCTAAATTTAAATGGCTTTAACGCAACTATTTTTACACATAAAGAAGTGAAATTTAGTGTAGTGACAGCTGAGAATGTTCCCAAACACATGCCCAATCCAGATTAAAAAAAAATAAATTCAAGATGGCCACCAAAGCTTAAAAAGAAAAGAAAAAAAAAAGCTATAAAAGATTAAATCTGGTATGGTGGCAGCTAGGCCTGTCATGATAACAAATGTTGCTGGGCGATTAATTGTCTCAGAACTTATTGATAAACGATAATATTGTTTGAAATTTGGCAATAATTATTATTGTCAAATTTAAGAAGAAATGTTGGCTAATTTTTGAGTGTAGTACCTTTTTTGACCACCGGATGGCAGTATAAGACTGTTTGAACCAAAGGATGGATAGTGAGGGAGAGAGCAGCGTGTCTCTTTAAAAAAAATGGGAGGGAGGCCTCTTGACGTGACATGGGCTGTCTCTCTTTGGTTCTCAAAATGGCAGACGCTCGGTGTGGTTTGAGCTCTTTAGCGTAGCATTTTTCGCACAAAGCTTTTAATAAAAAAAAATCAGTAAACAAGTTCTCAGCTTATTTTTGCAGAGAAAAACAACTTTTTAGACGAAGGCATGAGTTTCAACCGTGAATGTTGGAGCTTCGACAAGACGGAGGTTTTTTCCACCCCCAGGTCGGCCTGTTAGCTTAGCTCGTAGCTTGGTTAATCAGTTTAGCTGCTTTTAACGATCCAAAAACACGATTTTGGATCGTTAAAATTGATTTTAAAGATAAAAGAGAAAGGGAGGGGTCCGTGAAGAGCACCGGAGTTGAACTTTGGTCATCCAGTGTCGTCAGTAGAAAGTAAAGCCGATAAAAGAAAACGAGGTCGATAATTTTCATTTATCATGTGATTAATTGATTTATTGTTTATCGTGACAGGCCTAGTGGTAGCCGAGAGCGAACCTCAACGCATAGTACTGTCAAATTAAAAAAAAAATTTAATGGCCGCAACGTGGCAGTCCCCGTCAAAGTTTCTCCAGGAACTTATAGTTAAACTTAGAATATTCCATTTTTCACAAGCAAAAATGCGGAAAAAAACAAAATATTTCAGTTATTTGAAACAAATAATAATAAACTAAAAGACACGCTGTTCATAAATTCTAAACAGAAGGATTTACTGTATAATTATATATATATTTTTATTGCATTTGAATAAAGTGAAATGTTTCTCCTCACTCCTCAGAATGTAGCCCGGACCACGGCCAGCCAGGCGGGCCTCGCCCTAAGAACCAGGACGGCGGTGTGAGGGTGAGCACAGGGAACAGATAACACTCATTTCCTCCCGATGAAACACATAATTACACTCGTGGTCCGTGCCTGCCATCTTTCCCCTCAGGCGCTGATCAAGCGACGCCTGGACAAGGCCAAAAGGAACAGCACCACCCAGCTGAACCCGGGCCTGAACAAACTCAGCAGGTGACGCACGATCATGTGTCGCAGAAGACAATACGTACTGAAAACAGTCAAAACTGAAGCTGTTGGGTAAAATGTAAATAAAAACAGAATCCAATAATTTACTAATCTCATAAAATATTTGATTCACAACTGAATATAGTAAAAATTGTACCAAAAAACAAAAAGATAATGCAGAATCTGATGGCAGCAATGCGTCTATTTAAAGTTGTTCCAGGTCCATGTTTCCTATAACATCCCCTCTTAGCAACAGTCTGTGAACATCTGGGACCTGAGGAGACCAGGTGTTTGGGTTTGTTGTCTCATTCTGGTCTGATGGAGGAATCTCCATTCAATCCCCTCTTGGGTGTGTCAAAAAAAAAAAATCCCTAGAGAGGCGTTCAGGGTCCATCCCAGATGTTCGAACCATCTCAGCTGGCTCCTCTGGATGTGGAGGAGCAGCAGCTCTACTCCGAGTCTCTCCTGAACTGAACTTCTCACACCATCTCTAATAGAGTCCAGCTACCCTGCAGAGAAAACGCGTTTTGATCGCCTCTAACCAGTGTGCGACCATAGATGAGGGTACGAACGTAGACCGACAGGTAAACAGAGAGCTTCTCGTTGCAGCTCAGCTCCCTCTTCACCACAATGGACCAGCACGGAGTCCACAATACTGCAGAAGCTGCATGAACCCTTTAACATCACGCTCCATTCTTTCCTTACTTGTGAACAAAACCCTGGGATACTGGAACTCCACTTGGGGCAGAACTTCACTCAGTCCCAACCCAGCGAGGACCGTGGCCTCAGGTTTGGAGGTGCTGATCCTCCAGATGGGTGCAGTATGATTGTCTTGCTGAAATATGCATGACCTTCCTTAAAATGGACGTCGTCTTTTTATACCCCGTCCTCTTATTGACATGTTGCCACTGAACCTATTTGGTCGTAAATTGCTCCTTGAGCTGTTTCTTATTCAAGCCACTTACTTTAACGGCTGTTTTTTGTCCCTTTCCCAACATTTATGTGAAACGTTACTGCCATCAAGTTCAAAATGATCTTATTTTTTCCTAAAAATAATTTAAACAAATAACAGATTTTTTTTTTTTTAAGTGTTTACTTGATGCAATTGTGAATAAAGCATGGGTTTATGAGATTAACAAAACATTGTTGATTCTGTTTTTATAGTTTAAATTTTACACAACATCTCAACTTTTTTTTTTATAAAGGATGTTGTAACAGCTTCTGACTGGTAATCACTGTCACCACTAGGCCTGTCGCGATAAACAACAAATCAATTAATTGCATGATAAATTAAAATTATCGACCTCATTTTCATTTATCGGCTTTACCGTTTCTTCATGTCTCTCTGGACATTGGATGACAAAAGGTTCTACTCCGGTGCTCTTCACTGACTCCTCCCTTTCTCTTTAAAATCTGTTTTAACCATCCGAAATCGCATTTTTGGATCATTAAAAGCAGCTAAGCTGAGAAGCTAAGCTATGAGCTAAGCTAACAGGCCGACCTCAGGAAAAATACTCCGTCTTGTCAAAGCTCCAAAATTCTCGGTTGAAACCAGTGCCTTTGTCTAAAAAGTTGTTTTTCCTCTGCAAAAAAAAAGCTGAGAACTTGTTTACTGTTTTTTTTAATTAAAAGCTTTGTGTGAAAAATGCTATGCTAACGAGCTCAAACTACACCGAGCATCCGCCATTTTGAGAACCGAAAAACAGGGACGAGAGACAGCCCGTGTCACGTCAAGGGGCCTCCTTCCCATTTTTCTTAAGAGACACGCTGCTCGTCCCCTCACTATCCATCCTTTGGTTCAAACAGTCTTATACTGCCATCCAGTGACCAAAAAAAGGTACTACACACAAAAATAAACCAACATTTCTTCTTAAAGTGACAATAATTACTAATTATTGTCAAATTTCAAACAATATTATCGTTTATCGCAATAACTTCTGAGACAATTAATCGCCCAGCAAAATTTGTTATCGTGACAGGCCTAGTCACCATGTTAGCGTGTAGCATGCTAATTCCGTTTATTACTGCTGAAAATCAATACTGATCGTTTCTTTTATACTGAAATGGTAATTGCAGTGTTGCCTTTAGAAAAATAATTTGACATTTAACAGTTTTGCTGTCTGAATTTTTTATTTCTTTCTGTTGTGGTTAAAGTTCCAGGCACTTCGGTTCTCGGGAGTCTGTGTCGATCCCGGTCGGTGCCGTTGGGAGTTTGGATCTGAGCGCCGACACCAGCACCGTCATCAGACCCGTCCACAGCTCCATTTTAGGGGAGAAGTATTGCTTTGAGGTAAACCTCCTGAAGGGGCGTTAGAAATAAATCTACTCTTCTAGAAATATAAAAAAAACGACAAACAAAGGAAGCATTAACAGAAATAATGATATGGATGGAATTTGCACTCAATTCAAGCATGTACACTCTGGGGTTCTTTTAGCTAGTTGAAGGCCTTGAGATTACAAGTAAAAACTTGGAAGACCTCACTTTAAGCTTCAAGATTTCTTCAACTCTTCCTCTGCTTTGATGAGTGACAAACCACAGGTTCTTCCATCATAAAAAAAAACAAATAATGAGTCAATCTGGATTTATACTCCATCAGAACTGCCCAAACCATTTCTCGCTGACGTGGGTGCACAATGAAAATTGCTTCCTTTTGTTCTTGCACCTCTTCCAAAAACTGGTTCTGTGCATGACTCCCTGCTGAACAATTTTCTTGCAGGGTGTGCACCAAGCATTGTGCACAACAGAACGTTGTGGGCGTGTTTATGCTGAAAAACGGCTGCAGTACAATGCTCTCATTTCATGTCTACTGCTCTGCTGAGGATCAGCCGGCCGGGGCTGTTAAGTGTTGTTGTCCCAGCAAAACTTACAAAGATAGTTAAAGAATCTGTGGAAGGAGACAGCAAAAGTTTTGTGCATGGAGGAGACACAGGTGGTTCTTCACTCTGGCTGGAAGGGAGTACTCCTCAGCCGGACAGCGTAGTGACACGTTCCCGCTTCGTCTGTCGGAAACGGTAGCGGCCTCTTCTTGATAAATTTGCACAAGAGCTTCTCAGTTAACAAAAGAAATATCTGCTCTTCCTCCTCCAACATGAACAGAAACTAAACACCCACTGTAACAAGCGGGCTATCACTGTGCTGCTGTTTCTGTTTGTATGTGGCGTGTGCTGCGGTGAGAGGGAGTTCTCACTACAAATCCTTTTTGATTATAAAATGTCCATGTGCAAAAGAACATCTCACAGCCACGTCAGCAAGAACAGATGTCTTACGTCTGACACAGTCCTGTTGGTTTTAATGTTTTACAGGTGATCAGTTCGGAGAACACTCACTGCTTTGGCTGCTCATCGGCTGCCGAACGAGACCGCTGGATTGAAGATCTGAGGCGAACTGCCCAGCCCAATAAAGTAAACTTGAAACTGTTTGTTTATGTTTAAAATGAAAACGAAGGTTTCTCAGCACGGCAGCATTGATTAAAACACCCGATGAATGAATGTTCACAGGATAATGTTGAGCGGACAGAGAACTCCCTGAGCCTGTGGGTCAATGAGGCGAAGGACCTGCCGCCCAAACGGCGTTATTACTGCGAGGTTCACCTGGACGGGACCCTGTTCGCCCGCACCAGCAGTCGCGCTGTCGGAAAGCCGGCCAACCGCTCCAGCCTGGCTGGGGACAACTCCGCCGGCTCTTCAGGAGGCCCAGGGGCCGGTGGAGGTGTGGGTGGAGGGTGTCAACTGTTCTGGGGTGAATTCTTCGAGCTCGACAACCTGCCGTCAGTGTCCCAAATCAGCCTGCACCTTTTCCGAGAGGAAGACTCCAAAAAGAAGCGCCACTCCCGCGAGGAGTCAAACCTGCACCCGCTGGGCAGCGTGGAGATTCCCCTGGATGATGTTCGAGGGAGGACCTACCAGGAGAAGTGGTACCCGATCCCTCCATACAAGGCTGCAGGCACAGCGGGGAACAAGGAGCTGCTGGGGCCACAGGCCTCGCTCCGCATCAAGGCCCGCTTCCAGAACCTGAAAGTGCTGCCGATGGAGAAGTACAAGGAGTTTGCAGAATACGTGACGGTAGACTACATTGAAATGTGCAGAAACTTGGAGCCGCTTCTGAGCGTGAAAGAGAAGGAAGAGCTGGCAGGAGCTCTGGTCCACGTCCTCCAGAGTATCGGCAAAGCCAAGGTTGGAAATGCATAAATATAACTTAAACACAAGCTGCTTTGAAAACGGAAATTTTACGAGTAAATGCTGAGTCAGCATTTTTTTTTTTTTCAATATGCTTTTACAAACTAACTTCTTCTGCATACTTTCTGCTATTTAAGCCATTCATACATCTAAAAACATTCTTCTTTTGTTTTTTGTAACTCTTGTACTTTTCTATAGGGTCTAAGAACGTTAAGTCAGGTCCTCTGGACCGAGTAATAAATAAATAAATTTGTTGAAACGTTTTGCCTTTTATCCAAAAGACTTCTTCAGTCTGAGGAGCTGCAACAAACTCAGTCTTATGAGCAGCACCTTCTCATAGTGGATCAACCAGTTTGCTGGTGACATCCAAAACTAGAGGTTCACATGCAAAAGGAAGACCATCGACCTAACGACACATCATTAGTGTCCTGGTGGCCTCTTGCTATTCACAGAGGGCTGAGTGATACTAGCAATAACAGCATTGCAAGAGGGGGACAGTTGGACACGGAGAACGTACTTTTCTCAAAGATGGCCTCCTTTACTCCTCTCTCAAACCATCGTTCCTCTCTGTCCAGGATGTGAACATCTTGATCCCTGGAAGAGTGACTGCTGGCCTGGAGATGAGTGTAGACCACAGAGTCCTGGTCTGAGGGTGTTGCTCGTCTGTGCTGGTCCATCCTTTTGGCCAGTGGCTGTTTAGTTTCCCGATGTATGATTGACTTTTTTTTTTATTCATCCAGAGGACCTGACATTTCTAAAGGATCAACTTTATTCACAAAGATTTTCCAAAGGGATTACATCAAGAATGTCTCGGTTCCTTAAAAAAAATAGTTTTTGTCATGGTCTGATCGTGACGTTGAACCCAGAGTGCAGACAGAACTCAGGAACTCCAGGATTATTTAAAAAAAAAAAAAAAGATATTTATTAAGCACAACAAAAAGGGCTGTCGTGGCAGCAAAACTTAACATACGGGGAGATGATCATGGGAGGAGCAGAACAGAACATGACACCAAGAAGGATAATCCATGAGGGAAGGACAAGACACCGAATAAATAGAGACACTAACAAGGGCAGAAAGACAAACACCTGTGGTGATTAGGATTAGACGCAGGTGTAACAGGAGCTGAACACGAGGATGAAACATGAGGAAACAGAAGACAGAACCCAGAATCCCCTGTTTTCTTTGTAATCTGCTGTAATCTGCACAGTTCCTCCATTTCTGTCTTCTTATCCAATCGTTTGCTACCATTATGCTACTTGAAACTTGTTAGCCTTTGGCTACCTTTGGCTTTTAATTAGCCTTTTTTGCCCCTTTTAGCTAACTCTCTGATGCTTTTGACCTTTAGCAAGTTTGTTACTTTTATCTTTTACCTGCCCTTTTGATACTTTTAGACATTTGGAACGTTCATCCAACCACTTTATTTCTAGCTATTCTTAAGCTAGTGTTTTACTATTTTTAGCTAATATTTTGCTGCTTCTAGCTATTTTTCTACTTTTAGCTCATTTTTGGCTGCATTTGTCTTTCAGCTCCTCTTTTGCTACTTTTACCCAGGTTACATTACTTTTTGATAGCATTTGGATTTTTAGCTATTTTGCTCTTAGTTTTTAGCTATTGTTGTGTTTTTTTTTTTTTTTTTGCTTTACAAACTAAGTTTCCAACTTCAGCACATCTCATCCAGCACTCAGCGTTCACGCCGCCTTTTACGAGAGTGTGCACTGTTTTTTTGGCTCATCGTGTATTTGCGGCTTTAAACTGCATTTCTTCAGGAGTTCCTGGTTGATCTGGGCAGTGCGGAGGTGGAACGACTTGGAGAGAAGGAAGCGCTGATCTTCAGAGAGAACACACTGGCCACTAAAGCCATAGACGAGTACATGAAGCTGGTTGGCCAGAGGTACCTGATCGACACGCTCGGTAAGGGAGCTTCACGATGAAGGAGGCCTCTTGTAACATCAATAATCGCCCGCCATTACACAAATTTTAATTAATGAAACTTACAGAAAGTAATTATTGTCTGTACTTCTACAACTCCTCAACTTTTGGAGTAAACTAGATTTAGCGTGGTTGCTAACAAACTTATAAAACACAAAACTGACAATAACTCAATCTATTTTACACATTCTGACCTAAAACGTGGTGAGTCAGCTGAGAGTCATCGCTAACTTGTACTCTGAGCACGAACTTTGTCATAATCTGTGTTTATTTTTCTGTTGTGAGGTTTATTGTCACGTTTATATCGTACGATGTTCAGTTTCTGTGTTCACTTCGGTCCTTTGCCTCCCTGTGTTCCCCGCCATCTTCAATACTGTTGCATTGTCGATCATCACTTCCTGGTTCTGCTCCACCCTCTTACACCTGTTCCCTGTAGTCATTTCGCCCAAGTGTCTGCACTCTGTTCATCTGGACCTTTCTGTTTAGTCACTCTGTTGTTACTCTACCTTCAGTCTGGTATTGTGTGCTTCATGCTACAGTACATTCAGTTCTCCTGTGTCACTTTAGTTTATTTGTAGGTTTTCCTGCTACGTCAGACATTTTTTTGTTTTGTTAACTAAATCTAGTGGGGTTTTTTTAAACTCAAGCTTCTAGTGTCCATCTGTATTTCTGTGTCCTACAACTTCAAACTGTGG